GTCAAGATGTAGTATTTTATATTGCCTGTATTATCTTTTGATAATTCTCCTAATAAAATGAAAGGCAAGATCGTCTAAGTAGAAAAAAAAAAAAAAAAAATAACCATGTATAATACCTATATAGTATCAGGTCCTTGTCAGAACTTTTTAGAATTTATATTAAAATTTTTGTGTTCCGCATCAGAATTTTTCAGAAAAATCATTAAAATTATTGTAAAACTTTTATTGGTCACTTTTGTTATATAGATGTTACATGAAAATATATATACTAATTATATCATTTTTGCTCAAGTATAATAACCATATAATATAGTTATTATATCATGCATATTATACCATAGTATATTAACACTCATCCCTACGCGTACAGTACTATATATACTATATGCTAATTATTTTATATAGGCCAATACTGAGAAGTAATAACTAATCAAGTCAATTAATTTTTATTAACACGAATTATTCTAATTAGCAACAATCAAATTCTTTCTAATTACTAATTACGAAAGTTTCAGAGTAGACTATAAATGAATATAAAACAAGAGCAAAGTTTAGCTAAAGTAGTGATAAGCAAATTGCAGGTTTCCTAACTATCCTGTACAGGATGCGGCTTATGTGCATAGTATACAGGATCACTAAGCTAAAGTATTCCAAAAACAAAAATTTCAAAAAATTTTTTTTATATCAGGTATACTAGATATACTTTACTATACGTATTGTACACGAAAAAAAATCAGGTATCATATAAATAACATATTACTACCTATATTCAATTTAGTAATGCTAACAAAATTATAAATCATCATATATTAAGAAGCTGTCAAAAATCAGATAATTTTCTAGAAAAGGAAGATTAAAAAAATTGAAATTATATATAGAGAACCTGATAAGGCTCTGATAAAAAAATATCAGATGATTAATAATATGTTTCTTATAGCTTATACTTATTTTTTCATGATTATATAATTTTGTTGTTCAATCTATAATCTAAACTTAATAGTTAAAAATATTATTAAATTTTTTTCATATTAAATTTATCTAAAAATTATAATTTTTAATTGTTTTTTTCTTTTTCATATTTATTGTTTTTTATTAATAGATTGGATTTACTGATTTGTACTAAAACTAGACAGTTTTATAAAATTCATAGAGATGCCAAAACTTAATAAAATTAAATAATTTTAAGATCTAAAAATCACTATATATTACTTTATTCAATAATATAAATTTTATTTATATTTATAATATAGATAATAAAAAAAAATAATTTTATTATCTGCTACAATTTTGCAAATATGGGTGTACTAAATTTAGTACAGTATTAAAAGCCATCATGCGGCTAACTATAAAAAAAAAAATTTAAATTTACTTTTAAAAAACAGTAAAATAAACCTTAAACAATATGTAAAAAAAATATTTAACCTTGATGTAACTGCACTGTACAACAAATAAATATGCTGGGCCCAACAATCGGTACACATTCCCCAGGAAGCTGTACAGCTACAATGGGTAGTTGTATGATTATGACAGCTCATGCATCGGTGTTGAATATACTTTTCCTCATCCCGTGAAACTGCAGGATCACTATTAAAACTAGTAAGATTATGCTCAAAATTATCTGAATCTTGATTTCTTCTTTTTTTAGTTCATCGGCAACTGACGTATTAGTATAGTATTCAAAGATCGATTTTGTTAATCGCTTCCGAAAATCGACATGCTTCATATCTCGTCTTCTCGGGACAAATCGACAATATGCGGAGAAGCTGTTGGCCTCTGCTACAGAAAGATAAAAAGCAAAGATACGATCTATTGAGCGTTTAGATACAAGAACATCATGATAAAAAAGCGTATTATCACGCAAATTATTAAGTATGTCTACTGCTGATTTACATTCACAAAACTCATCAAATACAACAGGCTGATGAAATGTTACATCACCAAAATCCTTAATATATCGCTTTATTTCTGACCCAGGAACTGTTATAGAACAACTAGCAAGGAGAACAATATCTTTGCAGTCACGAATCGAACATACAGTTAAATTAGTGCTATTCATTTTACAGGTTCGACTAACAAATGATCCATATTCATCCTCAAGAGCATCCGTAATATCATGAGGGATATTTTTAGGCCAATAACGATGCTTTTTAATTTGTAAAATGGAATAAAGACCATGGCTATGCAAATTAATACATGTATCAGTGCTACTGAACCACGAATCTGCGATAACTGTTCTACCACTATAGAACTATGGTTCTACTAATCTTAATACTGATGCAATGGTTGGTGGGTATTGGTCTGAGAATTTTTTTTTTATACTATATTCTGGAGGCTCTACTGGGTCTAATCTTAGAAACAAATTAAACTGTGCATCGGCAATGGCTTTAAATTCGCAACCAATTGGGTGCAGCTTTCTCAATATTTTTCGTTGAAACGGACCTTTGTCTAACTTACCCATCCATTGACACATTGATTCATCTATACAAAGGTATGATCCAGGTAAAATAGCTTGTGTAAGATTTTCATTGAATGTATTGTGAAACTGCCGTGCAAAATAAAAGAGATCATCATTTTCCAATACGTCTGTTAATGTCAAGTACTTTATAATATTTCAAAATCGTTGATGCGATATATATTGACCAAAAGTCAATAAAACTCCACTTGTTTCTTGTTTAGTTGCCCAATAATCGCAAATATCTGCACATTTTACATATGTCATAATAGTTAGTATACCAATAAATCTCATAAATTCCATCCAGGTTAAATCAATCCACCCAGATTCATATTCATGCACAAGTTTATTTGTTGATAGAATTACTATTGACATTATAAAATCAACAAGCATAAAACGCTCAAAAAACTGTCTAAGCATTGCATTGGGGATATCAGAAATGTATACAACTGGTGTACCAGAATAAGAGCGGGACACCTGACAAGGATCAATAGTAGCAATTTCATCAATCCATCATGTGTTATTTCTGTTATTAATACTTATTGCTTCCTCACCCTCACTTTGACTACTCTCACTATCACTAGTGCTAAAAATATCCGTTTCACTACCACTTGCCTCTTCTAATTTATTATTTATACATTGACTAGTATCTACACTTCTCAGGGAAGAATTCACAAACTTCATACGACCCGCTGAAGCTTCTAATTCTATTTTTGGTTGCAAGTCAAGAGAAATTATCCAACGATTTTTGCCTGGTGCCACTCGTAGAACAGTTGCTAAAAGTCATTTGGTTTTCCATGATTCTCCCAAAAGTAGACGTGCAATACTTTCACCGACAACAGGGCCCAAAACAGAAACTTTGGCACCTTCTTTGATATTCGGAGAAATTCATCCCATTTTTAACGTTGGAAAAGGAAGAAAAAAAAAGCTCAATAGTCTTATAAGAAAAAAAATTCCCATACAACTACACATTCATGATACTCACCAGTATCTATACATAGTTTTTCTTTCACAGCTGGTGTATTGGGTGCCCAAAGGTACCTAATTCACGACCACAAAGGAGTTGATGACCAAAAAATAAGCAAGATTTTTTAAAATTATTTAGTGCCAACTGGTTTCAACTTACTTGAACAATCGCTTTTTTATACTTTAATAATTCATTGATTC